AAATCTCTTAATATTATTTTTATCACCTATCATCATTTCAAGTGTGTTCAGTTTAATAATTGATGCTTAAAATAAATAATTTTTTTTTTATATTTACGATATCATATAGCCAACTATAATATGACACATGCATTGCATGTGCATCTTACTAGTCATTTTTAAAATGCCGGACAAACTTTTTTTAACTTTCCCTTCAATATTTTTCAACTTCGATGGGTTGTTTTAAGCTTTAATGTTTCATTCACCCAAGCATCATTTTGAGAATGTAAAAATACGATTTCGATGCTCTTGTGAAGGAGAATACAAATTTACTTTAATCTTTCAAAGAGAAAGAAATGAGTCCCACTCAAAATTAGCCAAAAATCTACTGCATGAATGAAAATTGATAGACCACGGGAAATACAAAGACTGTGTGATAAAGTTCAAAGGTCAAAACCTGCATAGATAACTATGTATTATATTTTGAACATTCCTTTGTGAAAATATATTTACTTTACTAGTTGATTAGTAGACATGATGTCTATGAACTTTTCTGCTTTTTATGTAAACAATGATATATCTCACACATGAGTATTTTTTTTAAACACAATTCAGTTATTATTATTATGTCGTTTGTAGTCATGAATGTACGTCGGATTCTACGAGATTTTTTTAAAAATTAAGCCCTACATAATTCCTTAGAACCAAAAACACTTCTCTTCCACGTAATTAATTTCTTAATTAAGAGTAAATTGCATTACTCGTTTCAAATTCTCAATGCATAACAACAATCTCAAGATTCATGAGAATGAACAAGTAATTGAATAATAATACTTTATTTGGTGTTCCAGAGATAGTAATCGAATGAACCCCTAGTGTTGTGGCTAATGAGAACTAGATTGTGATTCAATTGCCTAGTCCCAATATAATTCAGACGGAAAAAACAGAAATTTACTAAGTAAAATTTCAAAAGGTGACAGCAGAAGATGTTGCTTTATCTGACTACCTTGAAGCTTGCAACATCCTTGATTGTTGATGCTCCAACACTAAAAGATGGTGAGAAAGATCTACAAGCTATGCAGCGTGGTTGGTACTTGAAAACATTCCGATTTCTTGTGTCAAAATTATATCATGAACATTTTAACCAATTCTTTGTGCAGTGTATAGTACAATGAAAATGGCTAGGAAATTGTGGAGTCTGAAATGTAAAATTAAGGATGTTGAGGCAAAGGAATTTATTATGGACCACTCCCTAGATTATAAGATGATGGACTAAGAAATAGTGATCAATTAAGTACAAAACATGCAGTGATCTTACATGAGATTCATGCTGAGTGGATGGTCTTGAGTGAAATTTTTCAAGTGGCGGCAATCATTGAAAAGCTACCTTGACCATGGAAAGATTTCAAAATTTTCCTTAAGCAAAAGCAAAAGAAGATGAACATTAAAAAACTGATTGTTAGACTTCAAATCGAAGAAAACATAGTTCTAAAAAGTAAGTGTTCAATCTAAAAATGAGGCAAATATTGTGGAACATGGTCAAAATTCTAAGACCAACAAAAACAAGTCCGGCAAATGGGCTAAGTTGGGACCGAAATGAGGAGTTTTCAAGAAGAAATTTTAAGGAAATTGCTCAATTGTAACAAAGTAGTTAATGAATTTTCGGATTGCAGATTGCCTAAGAGGAACAATAAGAAAGAAGCCTCCATGACTCCAAATTCTAGATTTTTCTTGACTTTCATTTGACAACTATTTATATATATTTAAATTATTAGTTACATTAATAATTTGTTTACTTGTGTAACACGTAGATCGAATTCATTATATTTGTTCAGAGATTTAGATAAGATAAATTTTGATAAGTAGATGTCAACGAGAATCAAACGATTTTTACTGTAGAACATGTTGAATCATTTGTTCTAAAAGCATAGCTAATTGCATAACACGTATTGAAAATTGTTCAATTTTGTCACTATTAGGAGAGAATAACAAGAGAAAAGCAATGAAAACGGAGAATATTCAATATCTAATTTACAAAATATTTCATGGGATAAGACTTACGTCCCAAGTCGCGATTGATTCATCTAGGCAACGACTGAAAAAATTAGCACAGACAGGGTACTTCGGCGGGGATAGAATTGCCTTCAGCAAAGGACAAAGGCAGAAAAACATGACCAAGGCATTTTACAATGTTGGGGCAAACAAGTCCCACATCGGTTGTGGGAAGAAAATAAATCCACCATATAACCCAAGTGGGTTACTCTGCCCATTACCAATTGGTTTTGGGATGGAACCTCACTTGGGCCTGGTGGAGTGGGCTTGGGCCTTGGGTAATTACTCTCAATAATTCCTTATCAGAGCCTAAATTGTGTGGCTAGATAAATCGAGGTGGTGGAAAATTCTCATGAGATGGTAGATCTATGGTAACGTAGTGGGTGCAGGCTACGATGGATTATCTCG